CAGGTGGCCGGGTGACAAGCCCGGCTGGGTGGTGGCCTCCAGGGGCTGGAGCCTGCTGGTGTACAGGCAGCGGGAGGCTGGAAGGGACCAGGTTGTTTGGAGAGATGCCGGGGCATCTGGGGTCCTGGGGGGTTTGGGCTGGCAGGGGCCTGGCCCAGAGGCAGGCAGGAGTACCACCCCCTGGCTGCCTCCCCCTGGTAGTGGACTGGGCACAGGGGCAGACAAGGGTCTTCTAGTGGGTGAAGGAGGCTGAGCCGGCAGGTAGTGAGTGCTCTGTGGGTGAGGATGGACAGAGCAGGAATGGGGTGGGGGTGGGGACAGTGTTTCGGATGTCGGGGATCGACCAGGCTGGTAGGGTGTGAATCATAGTGGGCGCTGTGCTCCCCGCAATGACCTCTTTATGCTCCTGGGGGAGGAGCCGGACTCCTGGGTCCCAGTTCCTGGTCTTGCCAACCAACCCACCATGGGCCCAGCGCCATCTAGTTTGTGGCCCCGAGGCTGTCCGCCCTTCTTCCAGAGTCGGTTGGTATTTCGGGATGTCTCCTTCTTTCCTGACACGAGGGTGGGAGCGTTTGGAAACGGGTCTGGGGCCGGAAAGTATTAGTGATGTCCCCGTGCCCCCTGGGCCTCTCCCTCTGTGTCCCTTATCTCGGTCCCTATCTCAGAGAGCAGAGCTGGGGGTGTGTGAGGGGGTGTGGGGGCTGTACCCCATCCCAATCTAATCACCTTCCTAGTTCTCACTGCTGCCTCCTTGTCTGCGCCTGCATTTACCACCTTCCCCCCCCCCCCCCCCCCCCCCCCCAAGCTGAGAGCAAGACCCAGTATTGTCCCAGGTCTGCGGAGGCGAGGAGAGGAGAGGAAACATGCATGTATCATAGCACAGGGGGAAGAGGACTTCCTACAGCGGGGCTGCCAGAGCTGGCTGGCGATGGGGCTGCCATGCCTCCTCTCCAGGCAAGAGTGTGGTAGCTGTGGCAGGGGGGTGACCACCCTGCCACGCTCAGGAGCCTGTTGGAAAGGGTCGGGGAAGGGAAAGAGGAGAGGGACAGGCTGAGCTAAGGGTCGGGGTGCACCGTGCCTGGGTGAGGAGGGGACCCGAGGAAAGAAGGCATGCCTACTGCCCTGGATTACAGGCAGGCCTCCCAGAGGGTCCCCCCTCACACCCCCCCTTGCCCCGGGCAGCTGGCAGCTCCAGGCAGGATGTGTGCTGGGAGGAATGGGGGGCATGCGGGGACCTGTCTCAGCCACTTCTCGTCACTGGGGCAGCTGGTGGCTTAAACCTAATCCAGGACACCAGCAAAACAATGGGCCTTGCAAACAGCCTCTGTTCTGGGCCTGGGTGGAGGGTGTGCAGGGGCTGCTGCCACGCTGGAGAGGCGCTGGGGCTTCTGGAAAGAGGGGAATGGGGGGGTCTACTGAGGCCCTCTTTTCTCCCCCATCAGTTCATTGCCAGGTCAGCAGAGATAGGAAATCCAAGGGGATTCAGGCCTCAGCAGAATTACCAGAGGAGTTTCTCCTCTGACCCCCACGGGACTGTGGGTCTAAGTGGGAGAGTCCAGGCGATCGCCATAGGTGGAGGGAACGGAGGGGCCATCACTGGACCTCCCACCCCAGGCCGGGATCCCAGCACAGACTGGGGGTCGTCCAGCTCTTGCTTGGACCCTTGCGAGGACAGTGAGCTCACAGCCTCATCCGGGTAGTTTTCCAGACGCTCATGTTAGAGTGGCCACCTCGGCCCGGAGCTTCAGGCGCCCTCTCGTATCTCCCACCAGCCGTGTCCCCCGGGGCTGCATGAAGCAAGGACTGCCTCTGTCATACTTGTTCATCTTTCCAGCCCCAGGCAGAGTTCCCTAGCGTAGCCCTGGACATAGGGCAGGCTTCCTTCCACCAGATGTGCTAACAGGGGAGTGGACAGATAGATGATGGAACTTCTTAGTATCAGATCTGAGCGGCCAATCTGAGCTTTCTCCAGCTATTAGATGGGGAAGAAAGGGGGGCTGAATAGTAAAGTGGAAGCTCCTCACCCCCGAACGAGTGGCCTTCTTCCTTCTGCACCCACCTGGCCTTCCTTTCCGGTGCCCAGGATGAGTGAGGGGTCGGAGGACTGTTTAGGGTGGGGATGAAGGAGCTCCTTGTCCTCTGAGGGGTGAGGTCAGGCTGCCTGAGGTGGGGGGTGAAAACTCCCCAAGGGAGGGTCCCTGGCTTCTCACCAGGCATTCTGCCCCTGGCTCCCCTCTTCTCCAATGGGCCCCTGCCTCCCTGTGAACACATCTCTCGGACACGCTCCTATCACTCGCTTTCCCTCTGTGTGTCTGAGCAGGGGACCTGGAGGGAGCCCTCCCCAGGCGTTGTCCATCCTCTTGTCCCAGAAACAGTGCTGTGATCCCAAACCCTTGTCTTCAGACAAGTCATCCTGCGGAATCTCAAGTATTCCAGTGGGTGAGCCCTAGGGCAGCAAAGTGTCCCCCACCCCCACCTGGTTTCTCACTCTGTTCCACTGAGCCCGCCAGGCCTGTGGGCGGGGCTCCCGAGCCTCAGGAAGTTGCTGATGTGTCTGATGTCCCGTCCTCCCTTGTGGCTCTCAGTCCCCCACTGTTCCCCTTGCTGCTCCTGAAGGACGTGTGTGGGGGGACCAGTCTGTCTCTGCATGTGTATGTCTGTATGTGTGGCATGTGCTGTGCACATGAGACTGATTCTGTGTGACTGTGTGTGCACATCTCTGCGTGTCGACATGAGTGCGTGTGTGTGTGTACTCATCTGTGTGTGCACTTTGCACACGAGTGTGCTTGTCTGGGCGTTGCGGTGTGTTCTGTGTGCATGAACGTGTGTGAATGTGTCTGCATCTGCATCTGTATGTGCATGTGTGAGGTTGTGCAGCGGCAGGAAGGAGCTCAGACACCAGCAGGCACGGTGTGTCCAACGCCTGGCACACAGTAGGTGCTTAGTGAACATTTGGTGACTCACTGCAGCGAGTTATTTCCTCGGAGGCAAAGGCATTATAGGGAGATTGAGAGGAAAGAAAGAGGAAGAAGCGGTTGGGCCGATGAGTGTGAGAGAGGAAGGAAGGGCTGAGGAGGAGGGTGCCTGGGACCCCATGGACCCCATCTAGTCCCCGTTGGGTCCTCGGGGCTGCAGGAGGCAGTGTGCAGACTTGAGACTGTGGGTCACCAGGCCACTCACCCGTCTCCCTGTGCTCCCACAGCTGCCCCTGGGCCCGAGAGATGGGTGCTCTTCCGGGCGCCCCCTCCCCTGGCAGGGGCCGCGGACGCTGCTGCTGCACAAAAGCCTCCAGGATGGCTTTGGCTTCACCCTGCGCCACTTCATCGTGTACCCACCCGAGTCCGCCGTGCACTGCAGCCTGAAGGTACGTCCTGGGGAAGCCTTGTTGCGGGAGAGGAGATCGCTTTGCACCGGCCCCTCCGGCACAGTCCTCCTCCTGTGTCCTGGGTCATCTTCATCTTCTCAGGAGAGGGGAAGGTGGCTGGTTCAGGACAGGCCGCCTAGAGAGGAGGGAGCCAGGGTGCTCACTCACACCTCAGACTCTTGGTCTCTGGAAGGCGAACAGCGGCTCAGAGAGATGCAGTCCTGGGACCCCTTGTCCGCTGGCCACTTCTGAGCTGGGTTTGTTGCCCCCGCCCAGCCTGAGCTCTCAGGGAGTCTGTCCTAACACACGTCTGGAGCACCCCCTGGAGCGCCCCGGAAAGAACCCTGGGCTCTAGCCCTGGGACAACTCCTAACTCACTGTGGGTCTCTGGGCTTTGCTCTTCCTGCTGCACCCTGAGGGCATTTCTCTGCTTGACCCCAAGGGCCCTTCTAGCCCTCATATAAATGTCAAGTTCTTTGAGTCTAGGAACCAGGCTGCTCAGCCCAACCCGCGGTGTCAGCTGGGAGGAGGGGTCCCTGCAGGTGAAGCAGACGTGCAGGAGGGCCCTGCTCCCTTCCCCAAGCCCCTCCCAGCAGCAGAGGAGGACAGTTTACTTTGGAGTCAATGAACCCATCTCTCCCCTTCCCCCAGAGCTGAGTCCAGCCTGCCCTGCTGCCAGGAGACCCTCCCATGGGGAGCTCGTTGCCAGAGAACCTAGACATTGGATTTCACTGCCTGTGTGTGCACTGCTCTTTGTGGGCACATGTGCATACATGGTATGCTGGTCATGTACACACACGTGTGCATCTAGACAGGTGCACATTGGTGTCTGTAAATGCACATCATGTGTACGTGGGTGTACACCGCTCCTAGCCATGTCTGGATCTGGGCTGGGGGGCCGCAGCAGCCCTTCTCACTGGCAGCTGAGTGTGAGTGGGGGCTGATGGGTGTGGGAGGGGCACTGCCCCACCCCTTGATGCCCAAGGATACCAGCCCCCGAGTTCCCTGGAACCTTTAGTTTAGTTCTTTCTTCCTTCTTTCTTCCTGGCCTCTGCCGACTTCTCTCAGGGGTCCCTGCTGAGGGGTGACAAGAGCAAGAGCAGCCTGAGTGGTCTAGGCTGGTGGTGGATCTGTCTCCAAGAGCTCACATGGGTGGGGTAAGCCAGGGACAGCTCCATTGCCTTTCCAGAGCCTGCCCAGGACCGGGAGCCTGCAGGGAGCTCAGCCGGCCCAATGCATCCGTCTGCCTCTGCCACCCGCTCCTGTGCTGTCTGCTCACATCAGCGGGCAGGCACCACATATGGCAGGGCAGGGCAGGGCAGAGGGACTCTCCAGCAGTGCCCCGAGCCTTCTTGTCCCGGCTGGCATGCCAGAGTCCTGGGTTCCAGCCCTGGCTCCGCGACTGAGTCTGAGCGAGCAGCCCTGGACAAGTCAGCTGTAACATGGCGATCTTTAGGGAGGGTTAGACAAGATGGCACCGCAGGTCGGATCCCGCTCTAACATGCTACTCCTGCTGGCCCTCCGTGTCTCTCTGACCTTCTCCTTCCTCTCATTTGTTTCCTCCCCAGATCTAGTGCCCTTCCCCCTCACTCACCAGGATGATCCCAGAGGCCTCCCCAGTGGGTCCCCTTAACTCCGTTTCTTAGCCCTGAACCTAGATGCCAGAATCCTCTTCTCTAACTGGTATTTCACACCCACTCTCTCCCACTCAAGAACCTTCACTGGCTCCCTCTTTCTCTCATTTCAAACTTGAATGCTGCGGTCTGACTTCTGTGGCTTGCTGGTGTTGACTTTCTCCTGCAGCTCAGCTGATTCAGTGCTACATATGCTGGCTTATTTCTGATACCAAGCGCCCGCACACGCCCCTCCCCTCACCCAGACTGCCTTCTTCCAGGCCTTAAAGTCCCCTCCCCCAGAGGGACACTAATCAGGCCTGCCCTCCCATTCTCTGAGAACTGATAGCCACTGTTTGCACTCGTCATGCCTGCTTATCTGTGTCTGTCTGGGTTCTCTCTGTGTGTAAGTATGTTTGGTTTGAGCTCCCCAAGGGGAGGGGTCGTGGGTCCCCCATTGTATTGGGGGCTTTCAGACGGCTGAGATGTTGACCTGGTGGGATCAGCGTGAGAGAGAGCTCATGTCATTGGGGAATCATGCCTGGGACTTGATGTCCCCATAGACACCCCTCCCGCGGCCTCCCGGCGCTGGGCTACTGGGAGAAGATAAGAGGGTAGGCCGTTGGGTGAGGGAGATTGAAGGGGCCCGCCCAGGTGGAGCTGGGCCTCCCTCTCTGCTGCTGGGGGCTGGGCTGAGGGCCAACACCCATCTCTCTGTCCCCTGCAGGAGGAAGAGAATGGAGGCCGAGGAGGAGGTAAGGAGTCAGCCTGGATTTTGCTGTGCCCCTCGCCCTCGACTGCTGTTCCTGTCTCTGCTCTTCTCTGTGTGGCCACCCCGGACATCTGCTCACGCTCGCTCTCTCTCTCCTCCCTTTCTTTTCCCACATTTGTCTCCCTCTGGGCCTTTCCGTTTCACACTAGAGGTGGCACCGAGAGGAGCCCTGGAGTCACTCCCAGCCTAGACTGAGGCACACACAGGGGCTGCAGGCAGGGAGTGAGGGGCAGCTGGGGGGCGGGGGTGCAGCTGATCCAGGGCTGTCCTTGCAGATATGTTGGGCATAAGGGGACCCTGGCGTCTTGATCTTTTCCAATATAAGCCTCCATCCCCTGGCTGTCGCCCTTGCTATTTCGCAGGGTCCCTCACTGGCACCCAGGCTCCCCAGGGTATTCAAGGCAGGACTCCTTGAACAGGCAGCCTTCCTCCTCTGCCACTAGGGTTTCCTTGGGGAAGCCATGGGCACACTCTCTTCCCGAGTCCCCATCACAGAGGCCTGTGGGGGGGTTGAGGGGGAGGAGCCCACTGACCTAGAAGAGGCCCATTTCTGGTGGAGACAGTGAGCAGCAGCATAGTGCGGCTGGGGTCCCATGTGATGCCGGAGTGGGGGTGTCGGGGCCTTTCTGCAGCTCCCCTGGTCTCTGGGTGTGGACATGCTCTGTGTATGGGGGTGTCTCTCCCCGCTGATATGTCTGCAGGGCTTGATACAGCCTCTCTTAGGGTGCCCTTTCCTTTGTCTTGTGCTGTGTGTGTGTGTGTGTGTGTGTGTGTGTGTGTGTGTCTGTCCCACCAGATAGCGAGCTAAGAAGGGGAAGAACAATGTCTCCTTTTCAGTCTGGCACGGGACGCAGGAGGCATACGGAGCCGCTCAGCATCAGTGTAGGTTTTCCTTCTCCCAGGAGTGTGTCGTCCTGTCTGACCCTGTGCACCGTGCCCCTGTGGGCGTGCGGGTCTCTGTGTGTTTGTGTCTGGGTGAGTGATTATTCTCTGAGTGTGTCCTCTGTGTGTGTAGCTGTGCATGGGTGTGAGCTTCAGCAGCCTCCCCCAGCTAACCTGGCTGATGCTCACCAGGACCCTCCCCCCGGCACCGCCTGGAGCCCATGGATACCATCTTTGTCAAGAATGTGAAGGATGAGGGCCCTGCCCACAGGGCGGGGCTTCGCACAGGTGAGCTGTCCCAGTTACCCGGCTCGTTGCACCCCCTGGGTCTCTTCTTCCTCCCCTCGGGTTAGGATGGGATTCTTGGACCCAGGTGTTAGGGAGGCTTCTGCCGCCCGCTGTCATCCATTCCGGACAGGGGTTCTCAGGGGGGGCCACTGACACGCCTTGGCCTGCTCACACGTGGTCCCGCCCCCTGTCCCCAGGAGACCGGCTGGTGAAGGTGAATGGGGAGAGTGTCATTGGGAAGACCTACTCCCAGGTCATAGCTCTGATCCAGAACAGGTGAGCGCCCCTGCCTCTCTTCTCCCATAGTAGCTCTGCCCTCTCACTGAGTCCCTGCACCCCCATCCCCTTGGCCCTGGGGGTGCCCTGGCGACCAGGATCCCTGTTCTCCCAGACCCTGTTGCCTCGGCTGGGCCTGACCCCCTGCCCTGTCTCTGTAGCGATGATGCTCTGGAGCTCTCCATCATGCCCAGGGACGAGGACATCCTCCAGCTGGTGAGTCCCCTCTGCCTTTCTCCTCGGGCCTCCCCTCCCTCCTGCGTCTGCCCCTCTGGGAGGCAGAGAAGAGAGTGAAGGAGGCAGCACCAACTTGGCATTGCCCAATCGGGGATGCCAGGCCCATCCCTGGGCTGGGGCTAAGTTGTTGCTTCATTCAGGGCTGCTCTGGGGGAGGGGAGGCGCCAGCCTAGGCAGGCAGGATTCCTGCCAGGGGATCTGGAAGGAGAGTGGCCCAGCGGGCCCTGCCAGACTGGCACGTTTTTGTCGGCTCCGGTGAGACTCCTGCTACCCGCACCTTCTCGCTGCCTGGCCCCAAGTGAGTGTGTCTCCTATAGCTGTGTCCACACACAGGCACGCCCCACCCCACTGTCGTGTGCTCTTGTTCACGCAACACACCATGCAATACACAAGCAGAACACGCCAGATACACAGCCACACAGCAAAACCCCTCAGCACCCCTTCATCCAGCACGCCACATACCGCGGAACGTGATACACACACCCAATGCACCCAGCACACCACGCCGAGCGCACGCCGCCACACACACAGCCTCTCCATGCTTCACCCAGGCACCCACTACCACACAATGCCCCTCAGATATCGCCGTGCAGCACACACCACCACACACGTGCTCGAACGTCTCACCACTCACTGACACTACAAATGCTCGCTGTTGTCACAGCGCATATGCCCACAAACATCACAGCATGCGCCAGCCCCAGCCAGGTGCCCGCGCTCACCAAACCTCACACAATCATGGTGCGCAGTCCAAGCACCCTCCCCACGGGCACTGCAGCGCCCCTGAGCTCTGCCCTGGGCCCCGCAGACAGCAGGACATTGCAGGCAGCATATCCGGCACTCACATGTGTACCTGTTAACCCCACACACTCCACGCACACATACATGCCCACACGCATGCACATGCTGCCTCTCTCTGTTCCCCCTCCCAGCCTTGACCCAGAGCCCAGGGCTGTCCTCTCTGCCCAGTGCCCAGTGCCCAGTGCCCTGGTCTCAGGGATCCCAGCCAGATGTCAGCTTGCTTGCCCCCAAGGTCACTGCCCCCCAGGGGAGGGCTGAGTGCCAAGCCCAGGAGGCCCTGAGAGCCACTGTGCTGGCTTCTGCCCTGGAAGTGTTCTCATAATCCCTGCAATCATAGTGCCAGGCTTGGCACCGTGCCCCTCTGGGAACCTCCACCCCCTGACCTCAATTGTCCCCTGGCCCTTCCTGGCGAGGGGGAGGCAAGACTGGGGGCCTAGAGAGGTGCACAGCTCCCCCCAAATCTCAAACATTCTGCCCATACACCCTAAGGCTGAGGCTAGGCGAGCTGTGAGATGGTGCCCCACCCCCAGCCTGGAGGGGGTGACAGGGCAGGGCCTAGGGCGTGTCCTCCCACTCCCTCTTCCGCTGGAGGGGGGCAAGAAACAAGGGGGGCAAGAAAGGAGGAGGGCAGCAACCTGGAGCTCTGCTACTCAGTCTCGGGTGGGCCGCCCCAGATGTCAGCATCTGGGAGCCTCCGCCGGCCCCCCTATCCCTGTCCGCCAGAGGGTGGGGCCCAGGCATTCCTGTGGTTGGGAGCCAAGGATGGAGGCCAATGGGGCCGCGGCAGCGGCTGACGCCACCGCCGACGCTGCGAGGCCCCTCCACACCCATCCTTCCCTCCGTCCTCCCTCCTCCTCCCGCCAGCCCAGAGAGCCGGTGGGGGCCCAGGGCAGCTGCAGGGAGGGCAGACTGGTGGGGGGGCTACGGAGGCCGGGGCTGGCGAAGTGGTCAGAATTTTTTTTGATGCTGCCGCCACGCGCGTGATGCGGGGAGCCCGCCTGCGGAGCCGGCAGGATGGCCGGAAGGAGAGGTATGTGTGTCTCTGGCCCGAAGGGGGCTCAGTGCGCGGGGGTGTGGTTTAGCCGGTTCTCCTCCTATGATGTGTGTGCCGGGACTGGAGGTGTAGTTATTTGTGTGTGTGTCTCATTGTGTTTCTCTATGTCTGTGTTAGTGTGTTTCTGGGTGTGTGTTTTCCTGTGTCTCCTGTGGTGTAGCGTGTGTGTGTGTGTGTGTGTGTGTGTGTGTGTGTGTTCACGCGCTTGTTTGGTTACACCCTCCCACCCTTTGATACTCACCCTGAGATAGGCCACCAGGCAGCCCATCAAGGGCCAGGCTGGGGTAGGGCCACCAGGCTGCTGTCCCCGGGGGCTGCCTCCTTTTTTGGCCTTCCTGGGCACCGGCCCTGTCACTCCCCAGCAATGCAGCGTCAGCTCAGCTCCTCGAGCCAAATTCCAGGCCTGGATGGCAGGAGGTGGCCCAGGGCCCCTCCGCCAGTCTGGCCCCTCCCCCAACCTGGCTCAGAGGGAGCAGGAGGGGAGCTGGTTTTGCTCACCCCAGAGGCCCAGGGCCAGGCCCCCAGCTCCCCATGCAGGGGAAGGTTGGGCAGCTGGGCTTTCTGGCTGCCTACCACCCCCCCTTCCCCCCCAGACACACCCCTTAACCGGCTTCCTTCTCTGTCATTTGCCACCTTGACTGGTCTCTGGTGGGACTTCCCAGCTCTGTGGGCACTGTTGGACATGAGGAAGCAGGAAGGCAGCTGAGGCCAGCAGGGGGGCGGACCCCAGAAAGCAGATGTTGGAATGTTTGTGGCTAAGGGCAGTCCTTGTCATAAGTCTTAGAGAAATCCTGGCTCTTTCTCCAGTGAGTGAGTGAGTGTGTGTGTGTGTGTGTGTGTGTGACTCTCAAAGGCCTCTTATTTCTGTCCTCCACCCACTGTCTTTGGAGCACGCCCTCCCTCCCCCACCCACTCAGGACTGCTCCTGCCTGGTCCCCTTCCCTGTCACCCTGAGCTCCCAGGGCTTCTGCAGCCCTGCCCTATGGGACCTGTCCAGCCCCGCTCACCTGCCTCTGTCCCCCGCCAGGCCTACTCGCAGGATGCCTACCTGAAAGGGAACGAGCCGTATTCTGGAGAGGCCCAGAGCATCCCAGAGCCGCCCCCCATCTGCTACCATCGGAAGACTTATGCCCCGCCAGCCCGGGTCTCTACCTGGGCCAGTATGGTGCCTGAGCCCCACTCAGCACTGCCCAGTGACCCCCGGAGTCCTGCTGCCTGGAGTGACCCGGGGCCCCGCGTCCCATCTACTGCCCGCACCCATTCAGACAACCCTTCTTTGGGGATGAGCCAGCCCCGCCCCAGCCCTGGTGCCTTCCCCCACCTTCCCTCAGAGCCCCGGACACCCCGTGCCTTCCCGGAGCCTGGCAGCCGGGTGCTCCCCAGCAAACTGGAGTGCCAGCAGGCCTTGTCACACTGGCTGTCCAACCAGGTCCCCCGCCGGGCGGGGGAGAGACGGTGCCACGCCATGCCCCCTCGGGTCCGCAGTGCCTCCCAGGACCGGTTAGAGGATATGACTGCCCGCCACCCGTGGCCCTGTTCCACCTCCCAGGGTGCCTTGAGCCAGCTGGGCCAGGAGGGCTGGCACCGAGCTCGCTCAGACGACTACCTGAGCCGGACCACCCACTCAGCTGAGGCACTGGGGCCAGGGGCCCTGGTGTCACCCCGATTCGAGCGCTGTGGCTGGACTTCCCAGCGTCCATCGGCCCGCACTCCAGCCTGCCCATCCAGAGACCTCTCCGGGCCCCAGGCTCCACCCCCACCTGGTCTGCAGGGCCTGGACGACATGGGTTACATTGGGTACCGGAGCTACAGCCCATCATTCCAGCGCCGGACTGGCCTCCTGCACGCACTCTCCTTTCGGGACTCACCCTTTGGAGGACTGCCTACCTTCAACTTGGCCCAGTCCTCTGCACCGTTCCTGCCAGAGGCCTCTGAACCACCCAGGGTTGGTCGGCCAGAACCCAGTCCCCGGGCCCTGGAGCCTCCCGCTGAGGATCATCGAGATGAGGTGGTCCTGAGGCAGAAGCCGCCAACGGGCCGCAAGGTCCAGCTCCCCCCTGCAAGACAGATGAACCGTGGATTTGGTGACGAGTCCCCAGAGCCAGAGACCAGTGGGCGAGGGGAACGCCCGGGCAGGAAGGTGGCCCCTTTGGCCACTACAGAAGACTCTCTGGCTTCCATCCCCTTCATTGGTGAGTGATGGTGCAGGGGGCTGTCTTGGGAGACTTGGTTATCTGTGCCCTGTTGTACCCCACCCACTTATCACCATGGGGAAAACTCTGGGTTGGGTGCTGATGGGATCAGCCTGTTTGTCCATCCATCCATCCATCCATCCATTTTTTTCTTCCTCTCTCCTCTCTTTGTTCATTCATTCATTTCTTTCTTTTTTCTTTCCATTCTTCCATCAGCCTTTCCTTTCACCCTTCTTTACATCCTTCTATCTTTTCTTTGTTTCTTTCATTCTTTGTTCTTTCCATCTATCCTCCAACCTTTCATCCATCTAGCAAGTATTTGTGTCAGGCACTGTGCTAGGCTCCATGCTCTCCTGGAGTGTATGGCCCAACAAGGGGATGTATGATCAGACAAGAGCAATCCAGTGGGATGAGAGTGTGATGGGGGTACAGGGGGCTCTAGGAGACAGGGAAGGGCCACATAGCCTAGATTGGGATGGTGGCCAAGGAGAGAACCTTCAAGAAAGGAGATTTTGGCTAAGCCTAGAAGGACGGAGAAGGAGTTAGCTAGGGGAAGAATGTTGAGGGGGAGAGACTGGAGTATGCGAGGACCTTGAAACGATAGGGGCAGGATGCCCCTCCAGATTGTCAGAATGGGTCTGCAGGGGCCTTGTCAGACCAGGGAGTTTGGACCTTACCCTGAGAGCAGAGGGAGTACGGAAAGTTTGCTGCCTCTGGGACAGATGTTGGATAAGGGAAAGACAAGAGAGTGGAGAGGCCAGGCGACTCCCAGGTTTCTTGCCTCGCTGGAGGGTGATGCCTCCGTTTGGAAATGGGAGGGAGGAGGGCAGGGAAAGGTCTCGGGTTTGCTGAATCTGAGGCACTTGTGAGGGAGCAGGGTGAGCTGGGCTGGGTCTAGGGGCTTGGGAGAAAGACTGGATGCAAAGTCATGGGACTGGAAGCCAGGAGCTGAGAGATGGAGCCGAGGCTCGTGAGCTCAGGGGAGTGTAGCTGTGGGAAGGAGGGTGAGGAGACCCAGGCCTGGCCCCCCACAGTCAGGCCCCCCGACAGCCAGCCTTCAGTCCGAGTGGGCAGACACGGCCCTAGTAAGCTCCCCGTCTGAGAGGGAGGCACATCTTTGCTTTCAAAGTACTCCCAGTCTGCGGGGGAAACGACCCTCCCTTCGAGGAGCCTGCAGCTAAAGCAGGAGACGGTCTTTATCCCCAAGAAGCTCCCAGTCTGGTTGGGGCGACACAGCCCCTGCCCTCAGGGGCGTGGTCTAAGAAGGGTAGTTCAACCCCTTGCCTGGGTGCCCTCGGTGTGCTGGGGAAGGCAGGGGCCGAGCCTCCATGATAACAGTCTGGTTGGTGGGCACCCTTGGCTGTGGGCATGTTGTCAGCAGGGCCCTGGAGACTTGAGGGGCCTTGGGAGTGGGGTCTGGGCCCAGAGGCAAGGCTGAGGGTGGGGGCAAGGCTGGGGGTGGGGGACAGGCAGGTTCAGCTTTCTGCCACCTTCACCCACCACTCCCTTCATTCTCGCAGATGAGCCCACCAGCCCCAGCATTGACCTACAAGCCAAGCACGTCCCCGCCTCTGCTGTGGTCTCCAGTGCCATGAACTCGGCTCCCGTCCTGGGCACCAGCCCATCCTCCCCCACCTTCACCTTTGCCCTCGGCCGCCATTACTCCAAGGACTGCAGTGAGTGCTCCCCACACCCATCCCCACCCTCCCCCTTGCTGCCACCGTCTCTGCTGGGCCTGCTACTGGGTGTCTGACCTCTGCTCGCTGGCTCCAGCTCCTGGCCCTGCCCAGAGAGGAAGGCTTCATGGAAGCCCCGGCCTACAGCCCCCACTGACCCTTTGGCCCAATGCGGGCGTTTTGCAGGCAGCATCAAGGCCGGCCGCCGCTCCTCCTACCTGCTGGCCATCACCACGGAGCGCTCCAAGTCCTGCGATGACGGGCTCAACACCTTCCGGGACGAGGGCAAGGCTCTTCGGTGAGGACGGGGTGGGTCCATCACAGCCAGCTTGCCTGGGCTGTGGCGGGGCCCCCAGCCCCGGGGTCCTCTACACACCAGGGCAGCGAGCCCTGGACGGCCTCTGAGCCTTGGGGCTTGGGTGGCTCAGGTCCTAGCTGTGCTTCCCACACCCCTCACTCTTGGTCCTTGCTTCCCAGGCGCCTGCCAAACCGAGTCCCCAGCTTGCGGATGCTCCGAAGCTTCTTTACTGACGGGGTGAGTGGCATGGGTGGGCAGGCGAGGGTGTTGGAGCGCTGGGCAGGGCCTTGGCATGGGGTCCAGGCCTGTGGCCTCTGTCATCTGAAAGGGGCTCCTCTGGTTCCTGCCCTTTTCTTTCTCCCTGCACCCACCCACCCTCATGTCCACCACGTGACCCACCCTCCTCTGTGGGCTCTGTCATCACTTAAAGGCACCGCACACTCCCAGCCAAGGCCTTTGCACTAGTCTTTCCCCGTCTAGAATGTCCTCTCCTCAGCCCCACCTCAGCCGTGTGACTCACTTTTTTACTTTCTTCAGGTTTCTTTCGGCCTTCCCTGAGCTTTCAGCCTCCACCCCTGACATTTTATGTCTCCCTTTGCAAGTTTGGTTTTCTCCTTCGCACTCGGCATGTTCTGTAATTTATATCTCCATCTCCTTTCCTGCCTGTCTCCCAGCTGGAACCTAAGTTCCATGACGGCAGGGACTTTATATGGTTTGTTCGCTGCTTGATTTCCATGGGCACCTGAAACAGTGCCCGCACTAGGGAGGCACTCGGTCAGTATTTGAGCGGTGTCTTCAGGGGACTCTGAAAAGTAGGGGGGCAGGGCGGTGGGGACACAAGGTTGAGAATGATGGAGAAGCTAGAGTTCCCAGCCTCAGAACCTGGGGAAACAGGGCCAATTCTGAAATGGCCTTCACTCCTTCATTATGGATGGACTGGAAAAGCCGTCTTGATTCCAAACGAGCGCCATCTTCGGTTCGTTCGGCACCTGGGTGGTGTTTTCACCCGGCTTATTCCTTGTAACAGCCTCTGCTTGCTCACTTCTCCCTCTGGCGCATCGTCTCTGTGGCTGGAGTCCTGTTGACACTATCATTTCCTCTGCTTAACTCTTTGTGGACATGACTACTTGCTCCACTAACTCTGTGTTCATTGATGCTCTGACTTCCTCTGTTTATTTAACTCTGTGTTGACACAATTACTTCCTCTGTATCCTTAATTTCTTCACGTCTATAAAATTCACGGGCGGCTGCAGATTGGCTTTTCTGGCGTGGTGAGGCACGTGGTCTGCTGGTCAGAGCCTTTCCTCCTTTCTGGCTTCCCCAGCACATGTGTCTCATGACCTCAACCCAGAGGTTCAGAGAGGGCAAGCGAGGCCATGAGGCCACACGGAGCAGCAGGGCATAGCACAGGCATGCACCCGGCCCTGGTGCCTGTGCGTGGTCCCTGGGGCTCCCGAGAGGCCGGCACCGTGGGAGCCACCTTACATTGCCCTCTGTTGTCTCGCTGCAGTCCTTGGATAGCTGGGGCACTTCCGAAGAGGCTGACGCTCCTTCTAAGCGACACTCAACCTCTGACCTCTCGGACACAACCCTCAGCGATATCAGGAGAGAAGGCTGGTTGTATTATAAGCAGGTCCTCACCAACAAGGGGAAGGTAAGATGGCTGGAGGAATGAGGTGAAGATGGATGGAAGCTGGATCCGGCAGAACTCTCCGGCTCCTCACCCCACAGCCTCTGGAGCCAGAGAGAACCGGCTGAGGCTGTAGCAGGAGGGGTAGAGGTTAGATGCCGGGAAAAACTTCTGGGGACCTAATGAACTCACGAAAAAGAGGTCTGTTCTGTGGGATGGGTCCGATTAAGTTGTGCTTGGGATTCTGACAAGACCAGCCACAGCGACCCTTGGTAGGCAGAGCACCCCCAAAATGGCCATTCATGTTCATGGAAGACGAGGGAGCAAGCCAGGGCGATTCTCTTAGAGGGGCTGAGGCCCCCAAAGAAAGCAGAGGTCAGCCTTTTCAAGGCCAGCAGAAGTTTCAGTCTTTATCCTACGGGCAACTGACAGCCCCCGGGGCCTCTTTCATGGCTTCCTGGGGAGTGAATTAGAGAGGGCCAACGTGGAGGCCAAAGAAGATCAGTTCAGAGCTGCCATAGAGATCCAGGTGAGAGACGAAGGGGGCTTGGGCCTGGGGGTGGAGGGTGGGGGAAGATAACCAGGGTCCAAAGAGGAGAAGGCGGGACCCCTGGCCTGTGGAGATTGAACCTCCGTTCCAGGCCAGGGCCGTGGCTGAGGGGCTGGGAGGAGAGGCAGCCCAGGCAAGGCTGAGCAGAGTGGTGACCATAACCTGGGCTTGTCTCTCGACTGCAACACAAATTGCTGGGAAGCTTAGGTGACTCACCTGCCCATGACTCAATTCCCTCGTCTGTACACGGAGCTAATATATTCCTTAGTTCATCCGCCTGTTGCTGAGGATCAAATGAGATGGATTTACCCAGTGCCTGGCATGGGGGGGTGGGGGTGGGGGGACGTGGCTGCTGTTCTGCTTATTGCTGTTACTTGAATTGTCCACCCTGCCTCCTAGGGGTCTTGTACCTGGAAAGAAGATAAGCTTTGGGTCAGACAGACTTAAATTCCTGCCCAGCCACATATCAAGCATAAGGCTTTGGGCATAAGGCCTCTTGTCTTCTGAGCCCCACTTTTCTGACCTGTAAGATGGAGACACCCGTGTTCTACTCCAAGGGCCGATGTGTCATCCAGGCCGGATTGGCTTATCTGTGTCCCCATCCGGTCCGTGGATAATGACTAAGGGTGTGGCCCGCCCTGATTCTCAGTTGAGGTTCTCGGGATTTCGTAGTGAGGGATCCAGGCCGGTCCTGCCCTGCTGGGGTTCATGACGAGCAGAAATAGCTCAGTTGCATAACAGTTAGGAGTGCCTGATGGTTATGATGGGGGTGTCCAGGGCAATGGCATGTAGTAGGTGACCCGAGCCTCAGAGCGGTGGGTGAGACATGAAGGTTGTGTGAGAATCCACCAAGCTGGGAGCGGGGAGAGTGGTCTGACAGGGGAGATGCCCTCCTGGATGGTCTGGAGAAAGGCGGGTGGCTGGGAGCCAGGGCAAGAGGTGGGAGCCAAGGTGGGGGAGTTGGGTGCCTGCTCGGGGGGCCTTGTCCCTCAGGGCAAGCCTTGGCAGGGATTTAGGTGGAGGGTGTAGGAGGCCAGGGGGTAAGTGTTGACCCTGTGACAGGAAGAGGCCAGGCCACCGCTGTTGTCCTGGTGAGCGAGGATGGGGGCCCTGACCATGGGGCTGAGGGGAGGGGACAATTTAGAGAGATTCAAGGGGAAGAAAGGCCCGGGCTTGCTGATGGCTGGGAGGTGAGGGAGGAAGAGGGAGGTAGCGCAGGCTCCCGGGGTCTCAGCTTGGGTTGTGGGGTGGTGGGTAGTGGGACTTTGCCCCGAGCCATGGGCACTGGAGGCACAGGCTTGGGGAAAAGAAGCCAAGAGGTTGCTTCGGGGTCTTGTGGAGTCCCAGGGTGGAGGTGTTCTGGGGACAGAGGCTCCGAGGGTGTGGCGCTCAGGATGGAGGCCCACCTCGGAGGGCATTGGTCCATCGGGGGGTGCTCGGCACCTGCAGCCAGGTTTGGGAGCACAGAAGGGAGAGGGCAAGAGACGGGCTGCACCTTGAAAGGAAGTGGGGGGTGGGGGCCAAGGAGGAGAGTCAGCAAGTGGCTGTAGACCAGGACTGGTGACTAGGAGGGGCAGCAGGGGCCAGCTGTGTGGCTGAGGAAGGGCAACCAGGTGTAGACAACCCCTTCTAGCCCGACCTTTGAGGACTGCTACTCCTGCCTGCCAGGCAGCCTGTCCCCCGGCTCTGGGCGGCCCCTGAAGCCCACCCACAGTGTCTCCCGGGCAGGGAGAGGAGCTGGCCCCTTTCTGCTCACTGACCAGCTCTGGACAGCAGGGGCTTCCACTCCCATCTTGACCAGAACCCAGTCTCCCTCGTCACCTAGGTACCATGGCCTGGGAGTTAGGGGAGGGGCCCTCAAGGCAGTTTCAGGCCCTTGGTCCATTCAGGGTCCTGATTGCCGGCCAGATGTTGGCTTCTCCCACAACCGCAGCCTCTCCTGGCCACCCCCCGCCCCCCGCCCCAACACCAGTCTGTTTCAGAGACACTGACTATCAGGCAGAGGGGAGAGGGTGTGACATCTCCCTGTAGCCACGGACGCAGCACTTGAGCTGGATGCGACCTTGGAGACCAGCTAGTTCACCTCTCGTTTTAGCAACAGGGAACACTGATGCCAGGGGAGAGGGCTTGGCTTGTCCAAGGGCACTAGCTGGTTCAGTCTCCAAAGGGCAGCCTTATCACCACCTTACTTCGACATTAAAATGCTTCTGGAGGGCCCTGCTGTGTCCTGCCCGGGGCCCCAGGTCGGTGGTGGTGGGCAGGGCTGCTCTGAGGCAGCTACCAGCCAGAGGAGAGGAGCGCCCAGGCAGAGATGGAAGCCCTGCCCTCAGGGTGCTCCGAGGAGGACCCATTCATTTATTCAGTAAATATTGATGAGCACTCACCTTGGGTCTCTTGAGGCTCTAGGATGTGGGATGTGGTCTGAGAGGACAGACAAGCTTTCTGCTCTCAGAATCTTACCATAAATCAGAGAATTCAGACAGGGAAATCAAACAGGCTGATGTGATTGCCTTTAAGTCGGGAGTGGTGGGGCTGCCTACAGAAAACTGACCAGAGAAGGTCTCCCTGAGGACGGGATGTTGGGGACCTTCGAGCTCAGACCTGAAGGGCGAGAAGGGGGCAGCCACGTGAAGCGAGAGAAGGGGCTCCCGGCAGAAGGAACAGAAAGTGCAGCCTGGCTGCTGGAGTGGCTCAGTGGTTTTACCCCGACCTGTGAACCAGGAGGTCACGGTTCTATTCCCAGCCAGGCCACATGCCCTGGTTGTGGGCTCGATCCCCAGTAGGGGGCCTGCAGGAGGCAGCTGATCAATGATTCTTTCTCATCATTGATGTTTCTATCTCTCTCCCTCTCCCTCTTTTTTTTTTTTTAAAGAAGAAGGGACAGTAAGTGCAAAGGCCTCGAGAAAGGGTGGGCATGGCTTGTTCACTGAAGAAGGCCCTGTGGCTTGACACAGTGAGGCAGGAGGAGGGTTTAGAGGGGGAGGAACCAGATCACAAAGTCCTTAGATTTGATTCCAAGACCATGGGAACCCATGAGGGGGTGCTGAGCAGGGGAGACACATGACCTCGGTTACATTTTAAAACTGTGGCTGCAGCTGCTGGGCGGGGGACGGATTGTGGGAGGTGAGACTGCAGACTGGGCAGGTTTGTGCCATTGTCCAGGCAAGAGGTGTTGATGGCGTGGACAAGGTGTTAGCAGGAATGATGGAGACAGGTGATGTTTGGGAAGCAGAAGTGACTTTCTGATGGGTTGAACGTCAGAGGCGAGGAAAAGGGAGGAGTCAAGGGCACCTTTCAGGTTTCTGGGCAACTGGGTCGATTTACTGAGCTGGAAAAGATGAGGGTGGCGGGGTGGAGAACAGGTTTGATGGTGAAAATCAATTGCCCCCATATGAGCATGCAAGTGGAGATGCTGCACAGGGGGCGGGAGGCTCAGGACGGGCTGAGGGGACGCTGGGTATCAGACAAATGACGCCATTGGGAAGCACGCAGGGAGAGGGGAGCCCAGGACAAAGTCCCGGAGCTCCCACCCTTTAGGGCAGGGTCCCAACCTCAGCTCATTGACCTGTGGGCCGGACGGTTCCGTGTTGTGAGGGCTCTCCTGAGCATCGGGGGCTGGAGCAGCACCCTTGGCCTCTACCCACCAGGTGCCATAGCACTTCAGGTGTGGCGACCACAAATGTCTCCAGACAGATGTCCCCTGGGGGTGAGTCACCCCTGTTGAGAACCACTGGTGTAGAGGAGGTAGCCAGCGGAGGAGCTAGACGGAGCCAGTGGAATTGGGAGGAAAACCAGGGACCGTGGGGGTCCCAGATGCCAAGAGAGGGTTCGAAGAGGGTAGGCATGGCCAAGTGCTGCAGAGGCCAAGGGAAGGGCCGGGAGGGGCCGGGAAGGGCCAAGGGAAGGGCCGGAGGGGCCGGGAAGCTGCCACATGGGAGACCCGAGTGGCCTTGAAAGTGGCTTTCCTGGGAAGGGAGATTGTGTGGAGTTTTGAGTGAGAGGCAGAGAAGCGGGGAGAGCAGGTGTGGTGGACACTCCTGACCGGTTTGCTGTGAAGGGAGCACATGTGGACTAGGAAGGGCTTTATGAGGATTTTATGTCAGTGGCTCATGCTGGTGGCCCAGCTGCCCTCCCAGCGCCCCTACTGGTTCTCCCAGTCATGGCCAACGCCAGGTGAATGTTGACGCTGGTCTTAAGGATGCTGGGCTTTAAGGATGCTGGGCTTTAAGGATGCTAGTCTTAAGGATGCTGGGCTTTAAAAAGAAGGTTACAGACCCTCTGGGGAGACTGCGAACGATGGGCAGGGTTGTCCAGGCAGGCGAGGAGCTGAGAGAGTTGAGGACTGTGAGCAGGAGGCTGCCCCAGGTTCCCGCACAGTGAAGCAGGGGGCTCCTGGCAGGCCATGGGGTGTCTGCAGCTCCTCGCCCCGCCCCCCGGCGCTCTGGGGCGGGAAGGCCGGCCTGTCCTCTCACACCCTCCTCCTCCCCCGTATCTCCTCCCTCCTTGTGTCTCCCTGCAGAAAGCGGGCGGCGGCCTGCGCCAGTGGAAGCGGGTGTATGCCGCGCTGCGGGCGCGC